ACATAGAATAGCTCTTGCTTATGGTTCAGATCCCGATGTATCTTGCACAAGTCCCCCCCTCCCTCTCTCCCTCTCTCTTTCTCTTTTGTTTAGGGTAATCTTCGTACTAGTTGATTTTTATTCTCTCTTCAAAGATGGAAGACGTGGCAGTTTTCATGGACCTCATTTTCAAGCAGATACAAGATTGAGAGTATTCTTCTTCGATATTGCTGCATGGACCTCATTTTCAAGCAGATACAAGATTGAGAGTTATCTTCTTCGATATTGCTGCATTTCAATCTGATGGAACCTTAGGCCATTCACTTCGTGAACACGAAGTTCTCATGAGTTGGCCTGAACATTTTTATTTGTCTGGAAAGCACAACATTGCAATTGAAGATTATTCTATACAATTCTCTAATAGAGCCATCCAGCCAGGCATCTTTAGAAGCATGGTAATTTCCCAATATGACATTCCTTGAGAGTTGATATGCGCTTTCAACTTTTCTTTTCCTTCTTTTTTCTACTGGTAGAATTTCATGTATGATTGCACCCTGTTACATTTCTTGCACGGTTGGGGATGAGGATTGGGCTTTTCCAATAGGCCTATGATTTCTGGCAAAGGGAAGAGAACGGGGTTTTTTCCTTTAGGTTTATGATTTCTGGTGGCTGTTGTGTTGTGTCTGTGTTTTCTCTTTTGGAGAGGCGGAGAGAAAGAGAGATGGGGTGAGGTTTGGGAGAGGGGGCACTTTATGAATCTAACGGAGATCTGAAGAGAGGTAGCATTGTTGGAATGTGAATTGAGAGAGAGACTTTGTATTTAGAATAAGCTTCAGTGTCAGAGAGATTCGGTTGCTGGGGAACATGTAAATTTGGATGGACAGAGACAGAGAGAGACGGTTTCGAGACCGACTTCTCTGCATGTCGAGAGAGAAAGAGTGCAGGATTTCGGTGTCCACTCTCAATCTCATACTAGTTCAAAATATTTGAACTCAAATTCCAGGTGAATGATGGGCAGTATCCCAAAGGCTTCTCTCGGGGTGATCATGCAAAGCCACGGCGCAGTCGCTTAGCTCTACAAAATCAGAGAGAGCTGCCATGCGCGACTATTTTACGAGCCAGGGCCTCGAGAAAGCCCATCAAGTTAGGATGCCACTGTAATTACATTTTGGGGAACTTGAAGGCTGATAATGGTCTGAGAATTGGAAGTTCTTCACTTCTGAAAATTAGATTCTTGTTATTTTGAACTGACAGATTGTCAGCTTACATAGAATTATAAGTCTGAGAATCTTTATTCCTAGAATTCTAGGAACTTGGAGATCTAGAAATTAGCTAGTTTTAATTGTTTATTGAAGGTATCATTGATGAGAGCGTGATATTTGTTAAATGAGCGAGATTTTGAAATTATCGCTCAGCCAGGTGTAATAAATTGATGGTCTAGATCACATAATTAAAAGAAAAATGTGGTTATTGGTTACAACAAAATATATGGTTGACAACATATCTAAGAATTTAAAATTTATTTATTTTTTCATTCTAAAAAATATATTAATGATGAGTTAAAATTTTAGGCATTCGTACTTCTCACCTTCACGCACGCACATGTATTAACTATATTAAAAATATCCTTTAAAAAATAAAATAACTAAAATCCCCTTAAACTTTGAGGGGTATTTTTTGTTATTTTCTTTTATTTGAATTGCTTTTGACATTTTATACAAATGCACCCCAAGTGAGGTGCGCGTACCATTCACATTTCATCTCAATCTAATGTTGGGGTAAAAATAAAAAATGGGTAAAGATGGGGCAGTCATTCTTTAAATGACCAAATGGTCCATATTGTAGTTCATCAAAGTAGCTATGTATTGCCATTGTCTGATTGTCGTCTATTTGAACGTTCTCTTTGTTTTTTATATATGAATGGTAATGAACTGAAATTTAAGGCATTCATTTTTTTAACCTTCATTCACCTCTAAAAAATAAAATAAATATTTTTAAAAACTTATAAAAATAAAATACCAAAAAATACCCCTAACCTTTGAGAAATATTTTGGTCATTTTATTTTAATTAAACTATTTGTATATATTTATATACAATATAAATCTAATTTAATTTAACATTAAGTATAAATTAAATATTGCAATAAAGCATATTTATTAATTAAATCAATAAAATTATATTCAAATTATAATTATTTTCACATACAGACCCACTATCACACAATTTATATCTTTATTTACACAGATATCTACTTTGTAGTTTTGCCAGCTTTTGTCTCTGAAATACATTTCCTCTTATTTTTAACTTTACAGGTCAACTTTATCGGAATGACTTAATATTTGGACAATACCTTTGGGGCTTCTTAAATTAATATTTGAGACCCTTTGATGGCCATTTGAAGCATGTTTGACTAGGGCTTGAGCAAGCTCTATTTTGAGTCATCCATTCATCCTTTTGACCTCACGGCACTTCTGAACCTTTTCATCTTCAACTAGGGGTAATGAGATTAAGCATGGTCTAAGCTTGCTTTGAGGCAGGTTTCGCAGTTCCAATAGATTTCTAGTGGATATATCACTGGAGGCCTGTTTGACCAGTCAATTCTACACATTGTGGATGACAAGCTGCCGCTTCGATAGGACAGGGCTGGGTCATGATCATAGCACCCTCATATTTAGTTATCATATTGTGGTTTTCAATCCTCCTGACACCAACCACTGACACCTTCAAACAAGCTAACTCCATAATCTCTTTGAAAAAATTGATAGGGGCATGTCTTCCTATTGAATAACCCTAAAAACAAAGTTGCCGCTTTGATTGCCATCATAAACCTTGCATTTATGGAGCAATATAAAGCCCTTTAAATGTATGGATCCTTGAGCTTTAAATTCATTTAATAAGGTAGGACTTACTCTAGTTTGAAACTTCACACCTATGAAAACTCTTGCATATCATTGGGTGATTTTCTTGTCACAAAAATACACCAAAATAGTTTTAACACGGTTAAACTATCATCTCGACCTCAAAATGTATGAATATGAAATAAAGTAGTTTTTTTAAATCTTAAAAATAGTGTATCTTATAAACATTATATGGACTGGCCACTTTCAAAGTTTCAAGAGTTTATAGATCAACTTCATCTTTCTGATTTTTGGGACTTTAATTTTTATGAGGATGGGTGAAGATGGAATTTCATGCCATCTAAAGATTTCCAACATCAAAACGGCATCTTTTGGTATAATTTAAAGGTACACGTTGCTTTAAGATGGATTTTTTTTTATTTTTTGGTGATTCAACAGTAGGAATCAAACTTGAGATGTAGCTCAAGCCGAAGTTCGGTTCCTACTTTAAAGTAGACCCATTTTATAAGGGATTGTATACAATGAGATTATTTGTTTTTAGTGCAAGGAGCTCACAATCACTTATAACTATCCGATATAAAATTTGATTTCTTGGATGTGTTAAAAAGTTAAAAAAAATTTGTTTTGAACTTTGAGTTTGCTCAATACAATAAATGTAGCTACCCAATTTCACATCACTAGTCAAAATTAATTGTCACTACGGTGTACTAAAAGTAAATATCATTTTATCCTTTATTTTTAAGTTTTATTTATTGATAAACTCAAAGTTTCGAAAGATCTTTGCTAACCCCTTAAGATAAACTCTAAATCTATTTTTAAACCTAAACAAATACGAAAAAAACATGCTCTTTCTCAAAATAACCATTTCTCTCTCCTCAGATATATACTTCAAACTTTTCTCTTACTCTCTTTTTTGACATCTCACTCTCTCTCCTCTATTGTTTCCTCGAACCCGTCTCTCTCCTCAAGGTAACCTCTCATATTTGTAAAATCACGGTAACTTTTCACTTATGTGAAATCCATATCTCCTAAAGTCAACCTCTCACCTCTGTGAAAATCATGAATACATGAAAGTCCTCGGCATAACACCAATTTAAACAAGAACAGTTTTTGAAAAAAAAAAATCCATGAAAGTCCTATCCATAACACCAATCCATGAAAATCCTTTCTCCGAACTTCTTTGTCAACCAACACCATCAAGAAACCCATTCTTTCTCCAACCGAAATAACCGTAAAAAATAGGACAAAACCATGCAATGGAATACAAAGATTTGCTTGCCGAAAAGCTCGAAGCCGATTCTTTCAAGGTGGAGCTCAATGATTCAAGCTTTTGGCCGACCCATCGAAAGGTTTGATAAGCGGCAGATCTCATGAGAGAGGCTCAGGGTTTGCTTGAAGAAGCTCTGATCCATCAGATTCAGGGAGTTATGGAGAGCTGATCGGGTTTATGCGGGAAGTAGCTTTCTTTGCGCGCGCTCTTTTGTCTCTCTCCATTAGCTATTCTCTTTCTCTCTCTGTATACTTGTATACGGTGTATTTGGGTGCTAATTTATTATAGGCTGGAAAATTAGTATTAATTGATATTGGCATTGGTGAATTTAGGGACAATCTCTTTCTTTCTCTCTATCTCTTGTTTCTCTCTCTGTTCTAGATACTGTGTATTTGGGTGTTAATGTATAGGTTAGTATTAGTTGAGATTGGCATTGGTAATTTAGGGGCAATCGTTATCTGCACTGGAGGAGAGAGTAAGTTTTAAGGGGAGAGATTTCACGGGAGAGAGATTGAAAAGACGCAAAGAGAGAAAGGGTTCACGGGAGAGGGATTGAAAAGACGCAGAGAGAGAAAGGGTTCACGGGAGAGAGATTGAAAAGACGCAGAGAGAGAAAGGGTTCAAGCAGAGAGAAAAAAAACTTCATTATTATTTCTGCACAGCAGGAGAGACAGTGAGGGGGAGATATGAGGGGTTCACGAGAGAGGGTTCAGGGAGAGAGATGGAAAAGACGCAGAAAGAGAGAAAGGGTTCAGGGAGAGAGAAAGAAAAGTTTCGTTATTATTTCTGCATGGGAAGAGAGAGAGCGAGGGGGAGATATGAGAAAGACGCAGAGAGAAAAGGGATTCACAGGAGAAGACAGAGAGAGTAGGGGGAGGAGAGAATTGAGAAAGACACAAAGAGAGGGGGTTTTGGGAGAAAGAAAAAGAGGAGTATGAAAATATCAGGTGAGAAGAGAGAGTGGGAGGAGAGAGAGTGAGGGAAGAGCGATGGAAAAGACTGATGAGAAGGGATTCAGGGAAAGGCCGTAAGAGAGAAGTTCGAGATAATAGGCTTTTAGAAAAAAATTGTATGTTTTTTTTAAATTTGTTTGACCAAAAAAAATAAGTTTAAAGTAAATAAATATAACTTAAATGCTAGAAAAAATAAAACTTACAATTTTTATGCTCGAAAATATCTTTTAAAACTTTGTGTGTATTGTGAAATGAAACCAAAAAAATAGAAAATGCGGAGATATTTACAACAACAAAAACTCAAAAGCAAAAACGAAAAAAATAAAATAAAAGAAAAAATTATCCGCTTTAAATATAAATATCCCCATCTTAAACGTAATTTGTTAAATTTGTTTTGTGCGATGCTGTGAAAATCAGTTGGAGACACGATGAATTTCCAAGCAGCCTTTGGAGGATTTAATGGCGTTTCTTCTTCTCCTTCTCTCTTACTCTTCTTCTTCTTGTTACTGTCCTCGTCCTCTCTGATAATTACAACAGAAGCCCAGCCATCGCCATTGCCCCTTTACAAGGATCCTAAAGCTCCATTAGAGGAGAGGGTTGCCGACCTTTTGTCTCGAATGACACTCGCAGAGAAGATTGGGCAAATGACTCAGATTGATCGCTCCACGGCCAACCCTGAGCTTCTAATGCGCCTTAACATTGGTAGCTTTTTCTGTCTTTCTCTCTCTTCATCAGTGATTTTTGCCCCCTCCCGCTCGCTCAAGATACTCTCTCTCTCTCTCTCTCTCTCTCTCTCTTGATCGGGCATTTTACTGTTTCCCTCTTGATCCGTAGCCTCTCTCTCTCTAGATCAATAATTCTGTTCCCTTTCTAGATTCTTTCTTTAATTTTACTCTCTTTCTCTCTCTAGATTATCCATCTGTTGATGTGTGAATTTACTCTCTATGAAGAACTTTGATAACTCTGTCTAGATTCCTTCTCTCTTCAGAGCTAAATTTTCCTTCTTAATCACATATTTTATTCCTCTTTTTTTCTGAATTCCATACTGTTTTCCACTTCATTTTCAGTATTGTATCTTTCTTCTTTTCTTTTGGTAAATTCGTTGATGTTTTCTTGATTATTTTCCTTTTCCTTCCTGGTTTCTTGTGCATTTGCTCTATTCATGAGCATTTTCCATTTTCTGTTTTGTTTCCCCCTTCTTTGCTGTAAATTTCCCTGTATTTCTTGATCAGATTTCATTTTCTTGGGTTATTTTCCATCAAAATTGGATTAAATTCCATTTGATCATTTGTGAATTTCTCAATTTTTAGTGGAGTTTTCTCCTGGTCGAAGTCTGATTCCGTAAACAACTATTTCAAATTTTGTTTTAATAGTATTTCTTACTCAATTTTATCTTTTATAAATTCCCAAAATTTGAGGGTGAAAGCACTACTATTTCTTCATTTTCCTGCCCATTTTCTTTTTCTGACTAATTTTATTAAGTATTTTCTGCTACATTACTTTTTTCTTTTAAATTTACGAATATTCTTAAAAATAGGATTTTTCTCAAAAAAGTTTGCCAACTTTCTTTACCATAAGAAAAATGGCAATACTTCTTTTTTTGCCACCAGAAAATGGAAATTTTCCTGGAGAAATGGTCATAGAATTGGCTAATACGAAATTTCGCCCAGGGTAATTTCGGATTTCTTGTTTTGCATTTTAAGTACGTGTGAGCCTCTTTCAAAAGTGCCGTCAGATTTCTCCCTCCAAATGTTCCCCAATCTTTTGCATGTGCCCCCAAAGGCCCTAGTCTTTATCGAAATGACATAATGCTCCTGTAGTGTATGGTATTGCGTACTCCTTGGTGATATCCACTGTTTGTTCCTGACGATGGACGATAGATATTAACCATGTCAGATGAATTGATTGTCGGGAGACTCGGGAATGAATGGTGGATATCCCTGTTGTGTGCCATGTACCATTATGCACCACGGGTATATGGTCTACTTCCCATGGTGCATACACCGTATTGTTATTCGGTGTTGTGAGTTTTAAGTTTTATATTTTGTAGCTATTTATCTCTATTAATTATTTGGAAAATAAATTCAAATATCTATGTGCGTTTCGAATAAAAAAGGAAAAACGAAAATCACAAATAACTTTGCAGATTTAGAAGAAAACTATCCATATATCTACAAGGGTGCGATTTGTATAAAGCTAAGGCTCTAAACAATCAAAATAGAGGGCACCTTCAAATAGTGTAGGTTTCAATATTGGAAATCTTTGTGATAGATTTAAAATATATTTTTATTATTAATTATAAAATTTAATGTTTAAAAAATATTGTAGATCGACCAAATCTATGAAAAATTGAAAATCTTGAAAACTGACGGTTAAAAAATGCATCACAAGATCAATTTGAAGATATTTGGGTATCTAAAGCTTGAAATTCATTTTTTCTCATGTCCATGCATCTTGAGATCGAGATGATCAATTTGAGGATATTTGTGTATAAAAAAAAACCCTCTTCTAGTGAGATTTTTGAGATGCACATAAACTTTTTCCATCTATAAAACCAAGTATGCTAAGCAAATGGGTGTGGTTTGCATAGAGCTGAGGCTCTAAACAATCAAAGTAGAGCCCACCGTTAAATAGAGTCAAGAAATATGGTTTCAACATTGAAAATCTTTGTGATAGCCTTAAAATATACATTTTTTCTTTAATTATAAAATTTAAAGCCTAAAAAATAGCATATCTATGAAAATTTGAAAATCTTGAAAATTAACGGTCCAAAAATGCGTTACAAGATGCACTACTTCCAGAGCTTGAAATCTA